GAACTTTTCAAACAATGCAAATTGCTCGAGTTCTTCCGTCGTGGATTTTGTTGCATCCGTCTCTTCTGGTACCTGGAAATACCTTGACACCTGATAAGATTCTGACGCTTCTACCCCCGGGCTAACTTCATTCGATTTGGGAGCGGGCGCCAGTTCCTGTAGTTGCTATGTCGCGTGCTCCTTCCCTTTGCTACTGGAGACCAAAATCACATTCATCTCCCTTGCCGCCGGTTGGTCTCCCCTTATCTGCTTAATTTTTTCTGGCACTGGAAATTTCAGCAACTGATGATACATTGACGATACATCTCTCATCTCGTGCAACCATGGTCTTCCTAAAATAATATTATATCCCATATCACCATCCACCACTTCAAAAAGAGTCATTTTCATCACTCCTTCAGCATTCTGGGCAACAAAATCTCTCCTCGGGTTATCACGCTCGCGAGGTTGAATCCGACGAGGAGTTTTGTGGCCGGAATGATGCTTTCGGTGAGTTTAGCTTGCTCTAATACTCTCCATTATATGATATTGGCCGAACTTCCTGGATCCATTAGAACACGTTTGATTTTAAAGTCTAGCTCATTTAAAGAGATTACCAATGCATCGGTATGCGGTAGCAACAATCCGTATGCGTCCTCCCCCGTGAAAGTGATGTCATCTTCAGCAACTTCCCGGAGTCTCTTGCTATGGGTTATTGATACTTTTATCTTTTTTGCTGCCGAGAAGGTGACCCCGTTGATCTCGTTCCCCCCGAAGATTATGTTGACGTCTGGCACGGGGGATCCTCTCTCTCCTGCTTTCTAGGGTTCCGCGTTATCCCGTTTGTGACGGTAGTTGTTCTTGGCCCGGTCGATTAAGAATTCTCTAAGATGCCCATTCTTCAATAGTGTCGCCACTTCTTCCCGGAGATATCTGCAGTCCCCAGTCCGGTGGCCATTCGTCCTGTGGTATTCACACTACAAGTTGGGATCCCTCTGGCTGGGATCGGATCTCATCGGCTTCGGGAACCGTGCTTCTTTGATGTTTCTCATACATATACCAACTCTTCTATACTGACATTGAAATTGTATTCTGAAAGCCTGGGGTAGGAAGGATCCCGCGTACCTGATGCTTCTTTGTCCTACAATGATCTATTGTTCCGACCGCGATCAGTCCTTCTATCGGTAGCAAACCTATCTGCTGACCGAAAGCCTCTGTCGCGGCCTTCGGTCCGATCGTAGGGCAAAAACCAGCCTCTCAAAGACCATTTGTCTGTGTCAAAATTGTTTTTTGATTTTTCTTTATTCTTCTCCCGTCTTTTTGCCGACGATGAGAAACCAACCTGATCATCTTCGATCCTTATCTTTGACTCGTACCGGTTGTGGACATTCGCCCAAGTCGTTGCTTGGAACTCAAGCAAACTTTTCTTTAGTTTTCGGGAAGCGTCTGAACTTCTCAGATTCAGACCCTTGGTGAATGCTTCAGCCGCCCATTCATACGGAACAACCGGGAGCAACATCCTCTCCTTTTGGAATTGGGTAACGAACTCTCGTAGCAACTCGAATTCTCCTTGTGCAATTCTGAATATGTCGGCCTTTCAGGCCTGCACCTTTCTGGCCCCGGCATGAGCCTTAATAAAAGAATCTGTGAGCATCTTAAAGGAATCTATGGAAGTCTTTGGTAACAACGAATACCACGTCAAGGCTCCCCTCATGACATCAAGAATCTGCGAGCATCTTAAAGGCTCCCCACGTCAAGTCTCTCCAAATTTTTTCAGCAAAACAGATTCAATCTCGTGAGGAGCTAAATAATTCCCCTTCACCGCCATTGTATATGTGGTAATATGCTCCTGAGGGTCTGAAGTTCCATCATACTTTGGCACGTCAAGCATTTTAAACGGCTTCGGGATTAATTCTGGTGTCGCGCTTGGTTTGTACGGCAACTGAGTATACTTCTTTGAGTCCTGACCTTTCAGCACCAGTGGTGCGCCACCGGGATTTGGTCCATGCGGGCGTTCACTTCTCTCATAAACCGTAAGAGCTCATTCTTAAAGGGATTGTTTTCTTTATTAGGGCTGGATCCGCTCCCCCACAGCCCCATCGGAACCAACCTTGCCCCTCAGGGTGTTGTTATCGACCCTCTGTGTTGTTTGATTTGCGGGAGCACCGGAAGGAACTGGACCTCGTCTATTCGCGTTTTTGGAAGCTCCCGATAGTGCATGCTTCAACTCCGTCATACCTTATCCTGCCATGTGGGGTGGCCCAGAATGATCGCTTGTTGCTCTTATAGGACCCTTACCGCATCAACGACATGATCCTTTTCAGCATCATCGTGAGTTGCCTCCCGAACATATCACGGGTACCGCCTGTCGTGGACCGGCGTGGCATCGTTTCCCTCATTGTGGGTATCACTGATCGAATCCTCGAGATGAGGCTGGTCTTCTTGAACCTCAAGATTATGTGTGTTTCTTAACACCATTATCTGCCATTTCCAATGATTTTTTGTTAAGATAAATAATCAAAACACGTTAGTAAAAGAGGTAAGGATCAACTTAATTATACGGCTATCTAGGCCCCACGGTGAGCGCCAAATTATTTACCCCTAAAACGATACAGTTTAATTTATACGTAATTTCTAGACAAGTGAATTAATTTGATCCTGAAATAATAAAATAATTAAAGAAATGCACAATACTTAACCTTGAAATGAAGATGAAATCACGAAAAATAGTAATTTTGGAGGCAGAGTTTCCGGGCAAAACAGTGATGAAACTAAGGAACAAGGAAGTAAAATTGTGTAAAGCTTTTAATCAATTATAGCATAAGTTTGCCAGAAAAGTCGTGTCCTTACAATGATAACAAATCTTACTATTTATAGCTACGCCTAGGGAACAAGGTCCTAGGATCGTGCCCTTCTTTAATGTCAATTATGAAGGCCATTGATGAAGGTGTAACGGTGAGCATAAATGACAAATTCTCTGTAACAGGCAACGCACTAAATGCTGTAGAATATTCTCCATTAAATGCTACCGGTCGGAGGATATTTATTGCATCTTTATGAGTGTCATTCTTTATGGTGACAAACAGGATAATTACCTTCGGTTCTTACTATCCCTCGCCTTAAGTTCCACGTGTCATTCTCTTGGGAGGCCACTTAGCATAGCGTATTTTATCGTATACACCCCCTCCCCAACAAAACAAACAAGTAAAGATTGAGAGAACAACAAGTTTATGTCACTCCTCAACTACAATGTCTGAGCATGCCACTCCCCTCGTTGGCTTATTTTTTGTTCTTTTTTTTTAGTTGTGAGAAGAGGGTGAAATGAGGGAAATGAGTTAAGATTTTATTGAAGGAATCGTCTTTAGATTCAATTATAGAAAGTGTCACCTTAGCTTCTTCTTTTATTGTCTCCATTACTTAGCATCCGTTTAATCTGCTTAGTAATTAACAAGCTTTGTTATGTTACTAGTGTTGGCTAATCATTGCTGGATAAATTTTGAGCACACCATCTTTTATCAGGTTTCAATAATATTCCATTGTTTATGCCTGAAAAAGACTTCTCTAAGCCCTTCAGCTAATATAGAGTAACTGCTGATGCATTCTTTATGCCTAACAAAGACTTGCTTATAATGTAGCACTGCTTCATTTGTACTGAGTATTCTACAAAATCTTATGTTTTAATTTGGTTATGAACTTTCTCCTATTATACAATATATACTTTTCAATATAAACTACTGATGTACTTCAATGAAAAAATGTCGCTAGCATGAGGTTTCAATACTTTATATTTCTATGTCTCTCTTGTATTCACCATCTTCTTTGTAGTTTACCTGTATATACGTCTTCTGATGCTATGTACATACGTGTTTCAAACCCCCTAGCTTGTGTATGACAGGTACCACAAATAATAGCCTACTACTTTTTTTATCTACCAAATTACTTTTGTCACTTGTCATTATTGATATCCTTTTGTTTTCCAATATTGCAGAAAATATGGTCAATGCACTTCACTTTATGTAACTTATTGGCATGTATATTTATATTTTTGTTAGCCGGTAAAATATATTGGTCCTGTAACTGATGTAAATAGTGCTTGCTCAAAGACTCACCAGTAACTATGATCTCCTTTTTGGCTTGAATTTGTTTTCTTCGTTCTATGATCTATCGAAGTTTCTAAATAGAAACAAAGTCATTGTTTGTCCCACTGCAAATATGAAATCTAGAGCATTATTTAAATTGTTATACGAAACAAAGTAATTCACAATGAGTTTAATGCAGTTAAGTCGTTTACTTTTTTTAATTGAAAATTCTTTTGCTATTCGTCTCAGTTTTTTCATGATAACTTAAAAGGGATTGCTCTATTACTACTGTGTTAACTATAATGTGCGCTATCCGAAAATGCGGTAAAGGATACAAATAAATGTACATAAGGAATTCCTTTTTAGTTGCTTCTATTACATAAGTATTGATTGCCTATTGATCAATAGTCTCTATACCCATTAAGCTTACTTGAGTTTACATACATGAAAAAAATCCCTACTTTTGAACTTTTGAGAGAATTCTTCTACGAGCTAATAAAATATTGTCATTGGGGATTATATTTGAATAACAAATAAACTGGTACATTTCAAATCCGCATTTGATCATAATACAAGTTACTCTCCATCAAAAGTTATTCATTATTCTCATAAGTAAATATTAGTTGCTAACTTATGAAGTTTTGGGCCGGGCTCAGCACGGGCCATTCCTCACTAGTATTAGATATAACCAGTTAGCCTAAGTTATTATATTTATTATTATTATTATTGTTTTTTAAAAGATAATAAAACCAAATAACACTATACTAATACTATTATTAAGGGTTCGTTTGGTACGCAGAATAAGGTGAAATAGGGTGATCAATTAAATTTATACCATGACCATCAACTAAACATAATATAACTTAATATTGGATATAACACCTTATTAACACCTTATTACATCAAACTTAAAATTATTATTAGTCAGCTTACCAAATGACCCCTAAGTCATCCCCTGCTGTCTTTACCTCGGCTAGTCCGCACTCCAAAAACCATCAAAAGGTGTTTGCTTCTCACTCTTGTAAGTCTCAAACTCCTTTCAAGAATGAGAACCAAATCTGTAACTGGGGCGGGTTTCTTCCTGCTGTTGATCCTTACGACGTCAGATGGGTTCCAGTCCGACGAGCTTCTCGTCGACGATGAAGAGTTCGGTCTCGAAGGTGGAATCCGATCCCGTGCAGCTGATCCCAATGACGTCAAAGTAGGTTCAGCACCTTCTTCTCCTGTTCAGTCGACCCGGAAGAGGTCTACCGGGTCGGGTTCCGATTCAGATTCGAAGATCCAGTTCACTCTAGAACATGCCTTCGGTGACTCAGATTTCTTCCCCGCCGGCACCTTCACTGCTCGCATCAAATCTCCTTCTCATGGTTCCCAGGTTTTCCCCTAATTATTCTTTCTTTTGACGATTGAAACTTTTATATAGTTATCAACGTAATTGTAATTATTTTTTGTTGAAAACTATCTCCTTAATCGTAATTATAGACATTGTTGGGTAATATAAAGATCGCAGAGCACAGGTTGATATCAGTTTACTTAATAATAAAGATAGTTTGTTAATTTCACGGACTTGCAATCTGATTTAAAAAAAGTAATGCGACTAAACAACTTTAAAAGACAAAATGTACAAAGTAATGACTCCAAAATACAATCCATTATCCGTAATATTAAGAATATTTACTGTAACTACATGTATCTGCTGCTCGTGTGAAGCATAACTCTGGATGACTTTGACTAGATGTGACTTGCAAGAATGTTATTTGGACAGAGGGACTAGGAAAACTTAGCCTTTTGGTTCTGGAATGAGGTTGTTGAGATATTGATGGGTGGGGTACTAGCACTTGTTTATATTCACAATTGTTGGGTGTCTTGCAATAATATTTAAGTCTATCATAGTGGTTGTTAAAGAACAATGGCTATAGATGGACATTTTGTTAGAGTGGGAATGACCTTATACTTGTAATTGTACAAGAAGTATCTAGTGAGAACTAGATCATGCTAGAATTTTCCTTTACCCAAAAAAGATCATGCTAGGATTGTCTGTCCGGCTTTTACCCTATATTAAGGTAGAGCATGTATAAATGGCACAACTTCTATAAAGAGTCCATTATGCAACTTGGAAAATGAATCCATTGAGCATTTGTTCTTCATGTCAATATTCAGCTGCAATATGGAGAAGATGCTACATTGGCAAGGGGTTAATATGCAAAGCCAGTGGCGGACGCACGTGGTGGCAAGCGGGTTCAACTGAACCCGCTTCATCAAAAAATAATACTGTGTATATGTATAAATTAGGATTAAAGCTGCGTAAATTTTGTATAAATATTTTATTTGAACTCATTTGACAACTACTATTTTACGACTAAAGTTATGTACTTCTAAGATTAAACCCGCTTGCACAAAATCCTCGGTCCGCCACTGTGCAAAGCTGTGGGTTGGCATGGGCTGTTGATCATGCACACATGGAGGTTTTCAGGGGCAATTATATAAAGAATGGCTTTGGCTTGCTGTATATATAGTGTCTGGTGTGAAAGGAATATGAGTATTTTTCAGCAGCAGAGCAGAACTGCCTCGTTGATTATCAATCAGATAGTTCAAGAGGTACACTGTAGAGGTGCTATGCTAGCCAGATTAAATAGCAGTTTGAAGAGCCCAAATTTTTACCCTTAGTTAAGCTTTGATTTGTAGATACTGTCACAGTCAAAAAATCCCACCAAAGGTCGTGATGACACCTAACCCACAATGCTAGACAAGCCAATATCCAAACATAGATCAAACTAAGCATAATAAGATATAATATAACTGCTATAGCATAAATACGCGAAATGAATCCTTTAACAACAACAAACACAGAAGTACTACGACAATAGTTTTCCCAAAACCCGGTAGTACAGAGTCATAAGCTCTAAAATAAGATACAACATAATCTCTCGATATTACAAATAATGTCTGAAATGTAAATAACAGTATGATAAAAGAAGGAAGGGGACTCAAAGGGTCTGCGGACAACCATGCAACACTACCTCATGTCTCCTATATTAGCTACTGGGCACCCTCCTGAGGTCCACTCGAGCCAATGCCAGAATTTGCACAAAAATATGCAGAAGTGTAGTATGAGTACGAGACAACGTGTACTCGGTAAGTATTAAGACTAGCCTCGTGAAGTAGTGATGAGGTTCAAGTCATGTGATACCTACTAAGAAATAAACCTGTACAATCCTTATTGATACACAACAAGATTATGCATGCAGATTTGGGGTTGTGTCCAAATGTTTTTTTTTAGTGTACATATTATACTTGGTAAATACATTTTTTTCTCTAACTACCTCCTTCCATAAGGATTGTTCTTCTGAGGCAAATCTCCATAACCATTTTATCATCAAACTTTGATTCTGTACTCTTAAGCTCTTGATTCCTACCCCCTGCCTTTTTGTTAACTGTAAGGGAGTTCCATCCGACCAAATGGATTTTCTTTTTATCACTGTTGCCTTCCCATAAGAAATTTCTTCTCAAGGCATCTATTATGTTCACTATGTTCACTGGCATAGGGAATAGGGACATCATATATGTAGGTAATGCATCAAGAATTATATTTATCAGAATTAATCTTCCTCCCCTAGACAAATACTGATTCTTCCCGTGAGCTAGCTTCTTCTCACATTTCTCTAAGACCCCATTCCATATCTTTTTTGTCTTGCTTTTGGACCCCAGCGGCATCCCCAAATATACTGTAGGCAGTGTCCCAATATTGCCTCCAAGAATGACAGCCAAGTTTTGTAAGTCACTAACCTCATTAACTAGATAAATAAAACTTTTATACCAGTTAATGTGTAATCCAGAAGTAGCTTCAAATAGAATAAATATAACCCTCAGCATTTGCAGTTGTTCTCTGTCAGCTTCACAAAACACCAGGGTATCATCTGCATATTGTAAGTGGGAAATCTCCATGTTACTGTCTACCCTAGAATTCACCTTGAAGCCCCATATCCAATTATTTGATTGAGCAATCTTCAACATATCATTCAAACCTTCCATAGCTATGATAAATAAAAAGGGAGACAATGGGTCACCCTGTCTCAGACCCGTCTGGGACGGAAAAAACCCAGCAGGAGACCCATTAATCAGAATTTAAAATCTCACAGTGCTAATGCTTTGCAGTACTTAACCCAACCCACCCATCTACCACCAAAAGCCATCTTCCTCAAAGTTTCCAGCAGAAAGTTCCAGTTCAGATGATCATAAGCCTTCTCAATATCTAGTTTGCATAGTATACCAGGTTCCTTGCTCAAAATTCTTGAATCAACACATTTATTGGCAATTAAAATGGCATCCATTATGTGTATGCCCCTAATGAAAGCCATTTGTTGAGTATCCACCAACTTGTGCACCACTTTCTTAATCCTCCCTGTCAGCAATTTGGAGATGATTTTGTAAATACTGCCTATCAGACTAATTGGTCTAAAGTCCTTCAATTCTTTAGCTCCCACCTTCTTAGGAATTAATGCTACAAAGGTAGCATTAAAACTTTTCTCAAATATTCCTTGGTCCGGAAAGTTCTGTACAACATCTACCACTTATTTATTCACCACTTCCCAACATTGATGGTAGAAAGCCATTGAAAAACCGTTAGATTCCGGTGCTTTGTCCCCTGCACATGCCTTTACACTATCCCATATCTCCTGAATTTCAAACGGACTTTGCAACATTTGATTGTCCTCATGGGTAATCATAGGGAAATTCCTAAGATTACCCTGTGGCCTCCACTCCTGTTCTTGAGAGTATAGTTTTTGGTAAAAAGAGACAATCTCTCTCTTAATATCTCCTTGGTTGTTAACAGGTTCCCCTTCTACTACCAGTTGATCAATGTTATTATATCTCCTGTGTGCATTTGCAGTTCTGTGAAAAAAATTGTATTTATGTCCCCTTGTTTCAACCATAAAGTTCTGGTTCTTTGCCTCCAAGCCACCTCCTCACGTTTTGCAAACTCCTCAAGTTCCATAGACAAGGAAGTTTTTGCATAAATTTCCTCGTCATTCAGGGGTCTTTGGTCATGAATCTCCTCCAGTTCCTGAATCCTTCATCCCATTCTTTAGATATTAAAAATCTATGAAGTCTTGCTCCTATAACATTTCTATCCCCCTTTTTCCAAGTGTACTTGCCTCCTGCTAAGTGTAGATCTACCAATTCCATGTCGTCAATAAATTATGAGAAATCCTTCATGGCTCTTGTGATTCTATTGCAGTTTTTCTTTTCTGATGGGAACCTCACAGTGTTAAAATCTCCACAAACTACCCATGGCCCAACAAATAATCCCCTAGCCCGTGCCAACTCCCACCACACTTCTTCCATTTTTATTCTGTCATTAGGTGCATATACACTAGATAAATGCCAAAAAAACTCCTGAGTCTTACCAGTAAACTTACAGGTAATTGAGTGTGCTCCGAGACTACTAACCTCCCCATCCCAATAATCAATATCTGCTGTCCCACAAGACAATAATTCCCCCTCTAGTCCCACTAACTTCTAATTGTGCAAATTTGGCCGCCCACAATTCTTTTACAATCCCCCTGATATCCCCCTCTAATTTGGACTCCTGGAAACAAAAACATCTGCTTTCCAGCTGTGCATCAAACTTCTCACCAAACTCCTCTTCCTTTGTCGATTTAACCCCCTAACATTCCATGAAAAAATGTTAACCTTCATTGATCTTTTATAATGAGATATCCCCCCTTACTTCTAGTCCCATTGCTTTTGAAACTACTCCCCATCTCCGGCCCTTTCAATTCCTTGAAACCCTTTCTTTTGGAGTTTCAAATCACCTGTGCTGTTGACTTCCCTTTGTTTCCTTGCCTTTTGTTGTCAATTTTTGTAAAAAGCTCGAAAGCTTCTTTCTCACCGCCATGGAAATCCTCGCTAAATTCCTTGCTAACTCTGATGATGTTCTGATGAACCCAAATTGTAGCATCAAATTCTGGGTCCTTCTCTTCCTCTAAACTCATCAAGTTTAAAGGTATTGCCTCTTCAATTGCCCAATTGACAGTTTTCACCATGGCTTCTGCATGCATGTGTATGCTATTGATGCTCTGTATTTCTCCTGGACTTGCTTTCTCTTGTATTAGTGACAAAGCATTGCCCTCTTCGATCAACTCTTACTGAAATTTCTCCCCATCTCCTTCTTAAGCTTCTCTGTTATTTTCTTCCACTGAATGCTCTTCTATGCAGGCTATAACTTGTGATTCTAGTGAAGTGCTCCATTCGTTTGCTACTATCTCCTCTAAAAAAGGGTCAGGCCTGGGCTCTATTTTACCAGCCCTAAAAGTATTCTCTACTGGTAAGCATTGGGCCAAAATATTAGGGCCCAAAATCCTCACATTGTTTGGTTGGCCCATTTTTAAACCTGGGAGTACAGAAGACCCCTTCTTACGTGAAAAGTCACGGGTGGACTTCAAATAACCTTTTGAACTTCCCACGTGCCCCGTCAAATCAGAGTTATATTGAGCCCCTCCCCTTGTACTATGGGTGTCCTCTTTTACCCAAAGGTCCGATTGTCTCTCTCCTCCATCTACTCCGGTACTGGTACGCACCGGAGTTTCGCACCAGATCTGAACCTCTGAGACTATACCTTCAAACTCCAACTTCACGACTTTTGGATCTAATCCTCCATCACCTCTAACCTTCAATCTTGCCCATTTCAAGTGATTTTTAACTCTGTTTCTTCCTCATTTGGATCCAGCCACCGCAGAAATCCCCAACTTCTTTAAACACCTTTTGAGACCACAAGTGTAGAGGAAGCCCTATCAGTCTGATCCATACCTGATTAATCTTCTCGTTTCTTGGCACCGAACCCGCTGTCGGAGACCACCATTGAAGTTTAACTTTGTGCTTTTTCCAGCTCCAATCACCTCTCAGAACATGTTCGGCAGTGACTTTCGAAGAGAATTCAAAGAGAAATAGGTTATGACCCATCTCATATATGTTGGTACCATGAGCTTGCTTCCAAGTGCTGCTTGCCCAACGGCGTATCTCCGATAGAACAGGGATATCAGAGATGTCTTCTGGGAGGCTACCCACCAAACTTCTGCCTAGAAGGACGTTTTGTGTTGGGTTGGATTCTCCGGATATGCGTATTGTATCTCCTTCTGTCTGGATCATGGCTTCATTCATTTCTCTAGAAGACCATTTATGTCTTCTGGTTGTTTCTGAGTACAAAAGCCCTTCCTCTGTAATTCTTGGAGCATTTATAACTGTTCTGTTGCTTTTGTTATTAATGAACCTTTCGATCTTTAATGCAATATCCAGCCATCCCGTATTAAATGCCATCTCGGGTATAATAATGACTGATCTCCTTCTTCCTTGGACGCTGATGATGGTTATGTATCGAGCATAATTGTTATAGTTCCTGGCACAGAAAAACTCAGAAAAATGATCATGAAATTTCCATCTCTTTACATGATTGCCCTTGATTTTTGATGCTTCCTTCAATGTCTCGCATAACCACGCCATTGTCTTCCTGTTGAAAGTGGTTCTTCTGATTAGGTTCCTACCGCGCTCCGTCCATTCATACCACTCGTCGGCTCTGGTCACACTTCTAATAATATCATATGACTTAAATCCCACTGCAAAATAAATGATATTGTCACCCATGACTAATAAGGTTAATAATCTTAAACTTTTGTTGATAAAACACTGCTTAAATTCCGGCCAGTCAACCGAAATTTCCCCTGAAAAAGTGGTTAGGATGAAAGACAAGACTAGAAAGAAATTAGTCTTGGGAAATGTGCCTGGGAGCATTCAAAATTTTTCCATACTGGTGTAGCCTTGAAATTTTCAAGTTCTCGTTAGATTCTGGGGGATAATTATCATCAGTGTGCAGTATGTTGTTCTTAGTGTTGCAGCAACTTCATTTTTTTGTAAAGCTGTATTACAGCAACTTTGTAGCAGCTTATAAATAGGTTGCGTATGTATCTTAAATCATGCTACGTCTTGTCATTAATATTTTGAATAGAAGTTGCACCCAAGGGTGTGGCCTAGTGGTCAATGAAGTGGAAGGAGAACCATGAGTTCTCAGGTTCTCAAATCCCAGGGATGCAAAAAGCACTAGGTGATTCTTCCCATCAGCCTAAGCCTTGGTAGCAGAATTTTCTGGTACGTGTGCTAGTGTGAGGTACCTGCTACCCGATGGAATAGTCGAGGTGTGCATTTGTTTGATTGGTAAAATAAAAGTTTTTTGTTTCAGTTATTCAATTAGAGTTGTCAGTGATAAAACTGTTGAGAGCCTAGATAAACCTGTACCTGTTCCTATCTCTCTCCCCTCTTGTCATGTCCTCTCAAATACCATCCTAGTTCTTGCAATTAGGTGAGAAAATTACTCTTTCTCTAATTTAGTACTTGCCTCCTCTCAAAGACCAAGAGAAACAACATACTAGCATCTCACAGATATATGCCATCTGTATCAGATGGCCACAATGAGATATTAAGTAGTAATGAAATGATAGGAGAAGTTATTTAAGATATTACCCGTCCAAATGGAATTGAAAAAAAAGACGTAATTACTGATATGCAATCTCACATTCATTTGCAAATCATTTAAAGCTGAAATATGACAACTTTTTGGACTTTAAACATCTGGGGTTAAAATCATTCTACATTTATTGAGATGTTGAGCCAGTTCCATTTCTTGGGATTAGAATTAGGAAACATTCCTTACTAAGGGTGTAGAAGTGTTATATTGGCATGTGTTTTTTTTGTTGTTTTTTTTGAACTGTCGTTTAAGTTTATTACTTCCCAAGCAAGCAACTAGCAGGAGTAACAAGTTCTGATCTGGCTCGTTATGAATTGATATTAGTTGTTTCTGCCTTCTGTGGTAATTGCAGCTAGATATAAAAAGCTTTTAAGTTTTAAGGCATTAGCAGCTACTTAAGAGAATAGTATGTGGTAGCTTTGGCTTATAGAAAGCTTGTGTAGCGGGCTAGCAATGATAGAGTTATCCAGAAACTTAGGTAAGTACTCAACTTTTCATGATGCCATATAAATGTCTCTAGCATTCAATTGAGGGAGGTGGAACAGAGGAAATCTCTTTGGTAGGTTGAAGAGCTTTTTCAATATTTTATAACAAGATTGTGCTTTGAGCCCCACTTTTATTCAAATTCTTTGAAGCAGTAAATTATCTAGAGTTTTGTCCAGCTATCATTTTCACATGAAACAACTCTTATCTTAATAACATCCCATATTAAAATTGCTAATAAATTTTGTTGGAGAGAGAGTCCAATAGCTAAGGTAATAAGTGTGTGTTTAAAGTGATGAAGAGATGTGAAGTGAGGGAATTATTGCTTCATGGGTGAAGGCATGCGCTTTAGAGAAGTTTTCGCTATCCACAACTTGATTTCTGTGTCGCTTTTTTGAACATCATCTTTGAGTTGGATTAATAATGGTTGTATATTGGATGCTGAAATTAGTTATGTTAATTGCAGTTTAATTTTTAATGTACTAAATTCATAGATGGTTGATACTTTTTTTAATTTCTCGAATTCCCGTACATTGTGCGCTTCACTTCAAAGAACTCACTTTTCGCTTCAACTCCAATGGATCTGGTCGCTTTTTGTGCTTTTCACTTTCAATAATTCTTGGCTGACTTTTACTGTCCACCTATGTCTGGTTGATGTTTGACTTTTTACCATCCAGTAATAGATTTTTTGCACTTCTTGTTGCAGACGCAAACGCTGACAAAGCTTCGCTTCTCCAGAAATGCTTTTACTGAAACAGAGAAGGAGGATTTCAAAGTAATTCTATTTTCTGTTCGTACAATCATGGCACCCTTTTTGTTTTATTTGTAACTTTTCTTGTGAATTTTATGTGATGCAGAAACTTTTGAAAGGTGATGACTTTTACAGAATAAGAGTACCGTCAAAAGTATTGAACCTTCCTGGAAGAGAATATGTTCTTTCCTCGGTGAAAGCAGTAAGTTTGGAACTATTGTGGCTAGAAGTATCAGCATTTTGTACATGTGGTGTCTATACATTTAAACATTCGTAAGGAAGGAATAGTTTGAAATGGTGTCAATACTTTGCCTTTGTGTACACTGTACAGATGTATGCCCATGTCTTTCTGTCCTTGTGACATTGAAATCTTAGGAATAGGAAAGTTAAATATTATGGTGAATGACAGCACGAGTTTTCTTTTATCAAGCAAGGGCATTTTGTCTGTAAAACTTCTTTCTGGGAAGAAACTTTCATGTAATTTAACACATACTTTCTAAAGGGCAAGTTTTCTTTTATCTAGCGAGGGCATTTTAGCTAGTAAAATTTGTTTGTCAGAACAAGAAGTTTCATATATTTGCGACTTTAATACTGTATCTCTTATGGAATCTTAATAGAAATATTGAAACTTATTAACTTCTTTCTGGTGCTACTGGATCTGCGTATGTGCATTTAGCCTTGCTCTTGTTTTGAGTTAAAATTTATATCGCCCTAGGAAGATTTAAATCATTGAGAAGCCGTCCAGAGTGCTAATTAACAATTGCTTACCCCAGTTAGATATTTCTCCCCCTCAAGAAAAAGAAAAAGTAGTGCATAAAAAGCTGAATGAGCTAGTTTGTCCCCCTTTACAATTTTATTCCTCTGTTTTGTTAGATGTAAACAGCATTGAGAAAAAGTTCCCAAGAGGGCCCTTTCTTGCTCAATGATACTTAATCATAGTTTTATTCTGTGAAAGTCTACAGCTCGCTGGCTGCTCTGCCTATAGTATCCAGTTTCTTGATATTGATTTTTATTTTGTACCTTGGAATTATCGGTTGGTTTAAATTGATTATCCAATCTTAACCTTTGTAGTACAAACTCTGAATTCTTTTCAACTTAGGTGCTCTCCTTTGTCACACACGATCCTTTATACTCTATTTTTTTTGAAAAAGTTAACAATTATATTCTTCAGCACCCAAAAAACAGGGCTGGTATCTAATATTTTCAAGTATAACCCCTGAAAATCTTACAGAGAATCAAAAAGGTCTAGTAGTGATTCTACATCACCTTTCAACTGTTCTTTACACCAAAAATGAAAAAGAGAAATGCAAGAACTCTTGATTTTCTATGTTGAACTGCTCTTGCCTTCAAAACATCTTGCATTCCTCTCGTTCCAAATTGTCCACCATATGCAAACTGGAACATTCTTCCACCATTCCTTGTGACAGGTTCTTCCCCTAATACTGTTCCAGCTGCATATCAGGCCAATGATATCTTTGGACATCACCCAAACAATACCAGCTAGTGCTATAAAGAGCTGCCAAAGTTGTCTAGTAATAACATAATGTAAGAAAAGATGTTCATTGGTTTCATCTTCCTGGACAACATAATGTAAGAAAAGATGTTCATTGATTTCATCTTCCTGCTGACATAGAAAGCATGTAGAGCTAGTCTGAATACCTCTTCTTTGAAGAATTTCTAGAGTGAGGCAGGCTTTTCTTACCACTAACCATGAAAGCAAGTAACTTTGAATGGTACTTTGATCTTCCAAATCTTTTATCAAGGCCAAGGATTGTTGGGATGTCCTCTAGATGATAGATAGTTGTATGCTGGCTTAACTGTAAATTTAGAGCTACTGCCTCCTTTCCATGTAAGAGAGTCCTCCGCCTCACTTAATCCTGCAAAACGTTCTAGCATTTTAAGAATCTCAGTAGCTCTAGTGACTTCCCAGTCATTGAGAAGCCTTCTAAAAATTAGGTTCCAGCCCTGGGAGCTCCAAGATTCTTCTACTGTGGCATTAGGTGAAGTGGTGAGATTGAATAGATCAGGAAAAAGGTCTTTCAATGCTCCATGACCAATCCAATCATCATGCCAGAATGATACCTTCCTCCCATTTCCTATCCTAAAACCTGTGTTTGTTGAAAACTCCTTCCATAGATTCCTGATGGCTTTCCAATTGCCAACTCCATAAGGAGTTCTCATTGGTTTGGTGCTCCAATGTCTTGATTGCTCATACCCGCATGTGACAACTTGTCTCCATAAGGCTTGCTTCTCAGTGTTGAATCTCCACAACCATTTCATTAAGAGGCTCTTGTTTTGCAAACTTAAGTTTCTAATGCCTAGACCGCCAACTGTCTTGCTGGAGATGAGAGTGTTCCAGTTGACAAGATGGGAACCTTTGGACTCCCTGTTGCCTTCCCAAATAAAGTTCCTTCTCAGCTGGTCAATTCTTCTCCTTACTTTGGCTGGGATAGGAAATAAGGACATAATGTAGGTGGGCAGGAGTTAAGTATTGTGCTTTCCACCTTGTAAGTCTCTTTTCACATATATCCAAGTACCCCTTCACATATATATGCAACTTTGTTCTTGGAACCTAATTATAATCCCAAATACTTAGTTGGTAAATTTCCTACTTCACAACACAAAATGCCAGCTAGAATTGGACTGTGGAGGATCTACTAGCTGTAGATCATTGATTGTGTCGGAGAAATCTCTCATAGCTCTGGTTAGACAGTGGTTGTTGCTTCTTTCATTTGAGTGTATGGTTGTGTTGAAATCCCCACAAACCACCCATGGCCCATTACAAAGCCCTTTTGAGGCTGCTAGCTCCCACCATAAGTCTTGCCTCTAAATTCTAGAATTTGAGGCATATATCCCTTTGATGAACCATGAGAAATCTTGGCCTATTGCAGTCAATCTACAAGAGATACTCTGACTACTAGAAGTAATCAACTCCCCTTCTAATATTCTTTTATCCCACATGATAAGAATTTCCCCACTAGTACCAATAGCTTCAAGATTGACAAAATCCACCCATCTACTCCCCCATAAATGTCTGGCAACAAGAGTTATCACCTTCTATCTTTGTTTCTTGAAGAACCACTACATCACATCTCCATTCATTAAGAGCAGTTTTAATAAGTCCCCTTTTCTCCCCATCATTCAATCCCCACACGTTCCATGACAGTATATCGATCTTCATTAATCAACTTTGAGGGTGCCTCTCCCCCTGACCCTAGACTTCCCATCTTTATATTTGATGCATGATTTTAACCTCTTTAATTGCTTCTGACCTTTTGGTTTGATTGCAGTGTTGCTTAAGGTTGTGGTATCTTCCATCTTCTTGTGCCTTCTACTGTCAATCTTCATGAATTAAGACATGACATCCCCTTCACACCCTTCAAAATCAACCCCAAATTGCTTAGTTTAAGAACATTCATATGCACCCACAATGAAGCTTCTTCTTCCTCCCTTTGTATTTGCATGTCAATTGGAATAGCTTCTTCATCAATACATGCAGATGGATCCCCAAAAATAACCAACTGTTTGCTACCCTCGTCCGCATGCAATGACTCCCCTTCTCTGATGAGTTGAGTTCCCTGGACCGAGTGCAAGATTAGAGGAACCTGTACCAAGTCCTCTTCAATGCTCAGAATAGAGTCAGTAGAAAGAGAAGAAGAATTGAGTTCCAAAAGCATAGGATCAAAATGGTCTTCCTTCATCTCTTTTGTCTGCTCCTTCGAAGACATAAACATCAACACTTCCAAAGATGGCAATTGAGATCCAGAAATTTGCCTGATGTCTATTTGGTTAGTAATAATCAGCCCATTAGAGTCTTTGGTAGATGGGCCATTAGAATGTTCGTCAGTTCGGCCTTTAGGGATAGCCACATGTGGTCCCTCAAATTCTTGGATTTGCATCTGCAATAAAGGGTCAAAAGAATTAGGATCCGCACCAATTAAGAATTTAGGGTTGGGCCTTTGCACCAAGAATCAGTTGATGGATCTGTCAAAATTGAGCCCACACGAATTAATTAACTTTGGCCCAGAACTCCCTTTTGTTTAAAGAGTTCAACATCAACCTCACGTGACTCGGGCACGTGATGTTACACTGTAGAGGTACTATGAGCAGGTATTGATTGAAGGATGAATGAACCAAAACATGTAACAACTAATTGACAGGTAACAAGGCATGAATAACTAGGCATGAATAACAAACAAGGACATGTGGCAAATCAAAGCATGTAACGAAATATAACATAGAATAAATAAAGATATAAAGGTAAATAGCCCAACCCGCATGCTTGAACCCATGGCAACACATATGCACTCGTCACCTCGCATATACGCCGTTCCTACACATAGGTTCACGTAGCAAATAGACCAAACAAGTCCTAATTCTCTCAAGGCAAAGTTAAACATGATACTTACCTCTTTCCGCAACCAAATCAATACTCAACCACGACGTTTTCTTTGGAACAAGCCTCCAAACCAACCGAATCTAGCAAAATATCGTTCAAACAATTCAAAATAAGCTTTAGAAACTACCCACGAGTGAAAACGATTCAATCTTTAGTTAAATTGAAAAAATCAACCCCGGGCTCGCTTGGTCAAAGCCCGAGATTCAGACCAAACCCGATTACCCATTCACCCCCGAGCCCGGTTATGTGATTTGTTTCGAAATCCGACCTCAATTCGAGATCTAAATCTCAATTTTAGAAAATCCCTTAATTCTACCCGAAACCCCTAATTTCTACCATGAAATTTCTTAGATTTGATGTTAACAATTCATGAAAAGTAATGGGAATTGATTGAAAACTAGTTAAGATTACTTAGTGTTCACAAATGCCATGTCCGCAAATGCGAGGCACTGGTCGCAAATACAAACAGTGCATTAGATACACAGATTTGCGAAGGACACCCCCTTAGCTTCGCAAATGCGAAGATCCAGCCCCCAGTCCATGCTCGCACATGCGATCACTGACCGCAAAAGTGAGGCTCGCAAATGCGAGCTAGACCTCGCAAATGCGAGATCTGCAACTGACTATCAGCAACTGAAATGCATCAGTTATTCCGAATCAATCCGCAACGCCTCCGAAACTCACCTGAGCCTCTCGGGTTCCAAACCAAACATGCACACAAGTATATTAACATCATACAAACTTGCTCGCTACCTCAAATCATCAAAATAACATCAAATAACAAGAATCGATCCTCAAAACTCAAGATTTCAACTTGAAAACTCAACTTTCACAATTTTTCACATAACACGCCGAAATTTGCTCGGTTCACCCCGGACCCCAACCAAACATGCGTACAAGCCCCAAAACATCATACGAACCTACCGGAATGTCAAAACACCGATCCGAGGTCGTTTACCCAAAATGTTGACCATGGTCAACTCTAGCCTCATTTTAAGTCAAAAATCACATTTTCATCAAAATTTTACGTAAAAGCTTTCCGGAAAACGACACGGATCACGCACGCAAATCGATAAACATCAAATAAAGCTATGGGGAGTCTCGAAACACAGAAATAACGGCTAGTACCCAAAACGACCTTATCGGGTTCACAGCTGTCCACTTGTATATCTTTCGGCACCTTACTCCCATCTCCCTTCACTTTGATTCTAGCCCCGTGTAAATGGTTTTTTAGTGTTGTCTCCTCTTCCGTTTCAATCCAACCACCACATTGATTACCTATTGCTTTGAAAACTTTCTGTGACCCAAGGTTAATAGGAAGTCCCAGAAGCCTAATCCAAACCCAATTACGCTCCACCTCTTCAGGCCAACAGCCAGTAGTAGGTGTCCACCATTCAAGGATCACTTTGGTCTTCTTCCAATACCATTCACCCTTAAGAACATGTTCAGCATCCTTCGTTGAAGTTCAAACAAGAACTTGTAATCGTTCATCTTGTACACATTCACACCAAAGGTAGATTTCCATGTGTCACAGGCCCATCTCCGGATGTCATTCAAAGTTGGAGTCTCCTTCATAGGAGTCAGAACTTTTTCAACTATGCACCTTCTTAGCACATCTTTGTCCGATAATTCTGAACCCCCAGGGATGATGACTTTGGAATTGTTGGATTTGATCGGAGAAGATTTCGTCCCTTCTGATGGCCATCTACTGGTTCTGATTACTTCGTTATAGGACGACTCTCGCTGTGGGTTTCTGACAATAGGGACATTCTTCTCTTCTTCTGGGACATTTATGAACCTTTGTATTTTTTGAGCTATGATTCCCCACCCTGCCTTAAATGTAACTTCTGGTGTAATAATGACATACCTGCGCTGCCCCTGTACAGCAATGAAACTGATGTACCTTCCGTGATCATTGTATTTAAGAGTGCTATAAAATTCTGCATAGTGACATATTCCACCTCCTTATTGCCCTGCCATGCTCCTTTGAGGCCACATTAAATACCTCTACGACCCACTTCATAACTTTGAGGCTTACATACAATTGCTTCCCTCATCAGGTTCCTGCTACGTTCAACCCATTCGAACCAAACTTCAGACCTAGAACAATTTTTTGTAATGTGAAAGGATTTAAAACCAGCATGATAGTAAATCCTGTCACTATCCATATTAACAGAATAACACGATTGGGGTTTAAACAATAATCACAGTAGGTGAGGGGGTGAATTCCGGTGGAGAATCACACCGGAAAAGGTTATTCGACAGTCCTAGAAAGTAGGAAAGGGAAGTGTCTCGGGAATGGTGCCTGGGAGCATTTTGCTCAAAGGTTCTTTACCTTAATGAAGGTCATTTCTTGTCTATTTTTATATTTCCATTTCAGACAATGGAATTTCCTTTGTGATTTGGCTAATTATTCCGGTATTTTCCTGGAATACTGCAAGCTTCAAATGACACGCTCATCATCTAATTGCTATTACTGTTTTTGCCTCAGAGGTGTCTTCCTCGGGATGGTTTGGAGGAGCACTTTGTCATACATATGGTAATATTCAACTTAATACTTGTTACCTAAGTTTTCTATTTAGGTTCCAGTATGATATGTTTCTTTTCAGTTTTCCTTTTCTTTATTTCCTTTTTTGTTGGATGTAGGTGGTTAAGAATATAATTCTGTCTTGTCTAACAGGATTTGTTAAGTACTTCGGCTACTGTGGAATGTAAAGAAAATAAAGTTAAATTAAGATATTTCAACATGACGTATTTCCTTTATATATCATATTAGCGTGTTTTGCATTTTGTATTTTCTTCTAAGGGAAATAGGTGGTTTCCTTGGCTAGTTTAAGTATTTTCTCTTGAATTTCAATAAAGACATATAAGGTCAGAGTTTTTGTTATTATGCGAACTAATCAAGTTGGCACAGTTTCCTCTTTATTTGTGCAAATCTTTCATTTTTATCTGTTAGGAATTTGACTTTGATGTGTTCATTGCAGGACGGTGTGAATATTTTGGCTGTTAATTATGGTTCCCCTGGTGCATGCCAATACCCTCGTCAATTGAAGCTTGTAAGTATTGATCCCTAAGTTTTAGACCCCTACTCACCAGCTAACCTCCCCGTCCTTTCTGCCCAACTTATATGAAGTATATCATGTATGTCTAATCAGTAGTTCTCGGATTTGAGCTTGAGAATTTTGATAGGGCAATAGAATGATACTACTCTGTTTGAAAGCTTTAAGCTGTTGGATCAGGAAATAACTTAAATGTAATTACCAATATCTTGGCAATCATTCAAAATTTGGGTGCTTTTCTCTGAAAGCATCTATTAGTATCTGAAGATCTTTTACCAAAAGATACCTTTTGGAAGATTACATGATGTATTTAGATTTCCTAAGGGAATTATAACCTCATTTTTCAAGGAACCTCTATATTTGCTGTACTTTTGATTTTTAGGTTTAGACCAATGACTGAGGCAAAATGATTTTTCACTCGCAACTTTTGTGATACTTTTTACAATTGAAGTGTTCTATTGCGAAAAAATAATCTATCTCATACAGAAGAGGTATACAATATAGATACCAGCCGGTGATTTTGACATCGCCACCAAGAATATTCTTTTCTTTATAACTGAGAAATCCCCAAGGGATAGTGGCGCACAGCTTGAAACTTGATGGATAATGGGCCTAGAATATCTTATATGCAGCTGCGTGCCAAGATATACCCAAAAAAACAGCAAAATCTATGGATAGTGGAAGCATTTTTCCCATCAGTAGCTCTTGTATTTCTCCTCCCAACTAGTCACATGATAGCTTGACAGATGATATCTCAAGCTCCGCTTCTTCCGATGGAGCTGGCTTTGGACCTTCAGCTCCAAAGTAGATTTTTGCACTGTTAGGCATAACCCAGTTTGTAGCGGAAAATTTCCAGTCTTGTCACCCTTGGAGCTGATAAGTGGGTGGTCGACTACCCATTTATCAGGAAAAAAAATATTATTCCAGTCTTGTCACATACTTGGAACTTATAAGTGGGTGGTCAACATCTGCTGTTTCTTTACCATAAGAATCTCCAAATGTGTATTCTTCTCTGCCTTATATTATTAGCCGTACGTATAGTGTTCCAAGCAGTTACATAAAAGTATCAACCTCCTGGGGAGCTCTACTTCGCAAGCTACTGAATGTGGAGAAGTATCTGGTTGGGTTTTTCAGCAAATTAGGATTTGACTTTATATTGTCTTGTCATATGTCCCTTCCATAGCCAAGAGGCGTTGTCCTCCCATTTTGTGTAAATTCAAGTCAGTCTGTAATTGCTTAGTTCTTCCTTTCTCTGTCTTGTAAAGCCTTTCTGAAGTGCAGGTCCCAAAACATTCATCCTCTTTCCTCATAGCAGCCTCTTCTGGTTCTGGAGATGCCAAAAGTGGCTAAATCAGATCTTCAGAGGCTTAATTCTCCACATCCAGAGTGAAAACTTTAACTTGTACTCAGCTGGAGAAGAAACAAGTTTTCAATTTCATTGAACTTCAAAATCCAAATGTGAGTTCTGTAATGTCCAGGTGCAATGAGACTTCTTTTTTCTGATAACCGAGAAATTCGCTAGGGCCAGCTGGTGCACGGTTCAAAACATGGTAGATAATGGGCCCGCCCCTCTACCCTTCTCTGCTCTAATATCTGGCTTTTGCTTGCGGCGCGATTCGACCTTGTGATGTGCCCCTTATTCATATATCACGTGCTACGCTCTTACCACTAGACCCAGGGCGATTCGATGAAACTTAAATTCTTGACTATTACCTAATACATAGATCATTGAATTCGTGTAATGGGGATGGATTAGCATTCACTACATAACCTAGACTCAGATGGTAAAGGCAGGTCTTTTGGTCATACATCAATATACGTGCAGAAATCTTGCTTAGACAGAGTAATTCTTTCTCAAGTTAGAGAAAACTTGACAGGCGTATTATAGTTTAATGACTAAGAAAAGGTTATTTGGGCATCTGAAAAAAAGAAAAGATTATTTGAGTCCACACTTCTGTTAATATGAGTTTGGTTTGAAAGACAAATTATTACTAAAAGCTAAAACATTAGAGAAATAATCTGGATTGCTATTCGGAACTATAGAACAAAATTCATGATATGCTGTGGAATATTCTAGTTGTGGAACTCTGTCTGGACCAAGTTCTTACTATTGAAATACGTAAACTGGAACAGCTAAGTTGATTCAGTCTGTACTACTAATCTTAAGAATTATCTAAAATCTGGTAAGGAATAATACTGCTATTTCGGTCTCTGAAAAATCTGCAACAACCCAAAGACCTTTTATACTCAATTTGAAGTTCAAAAAAAGAAAGTCTTGATTTCTCACCTGATATATTTCAGTCAAAGAATCAAGATAGTAACTAACCGACAATTCACATCAGGCTATTGAGAATTTTATAACCATCAAGTACTGATAAGTGGCAAAATGAGAATTACTTTATGCAATGTGATTTAGTGTAAGGTTGATACAGGTTATGGTTTCCTACAATTAGCTTTAGGTTCTTGAGAGACTCACTATTAGATTTGTTTCCAGGATGGATCAATTAGTACTGCTGGTGATGCTTTTGAATCATAGTGTATGAGATATTCATGTTCTCTATGTCAGTTACATTTTTCTATTTATAAAAATCTGGGGACTATTAGCAATGTCATGCATTAGGCAATATTTTTTTCGTGAGGAAGTAAACCGTTTCCAAATCATTTCTGCTGGTTCCGCTGATGGATTCACATGCTACCTTTTCTTTTCTTTGTATATTATTCTCTTTCTAGCTTATTAATGGGACTTGACATTAGCTAGTTTAGTAAGTGAAATGTAATAGCAAATTTTCATGGTATTGGAGAAGGAAAAGGATTTCATGTAAATAAGATGCTAATCCTATGACTGATGCTAAGTTTTGTGCTTCTATTTCAGCCTGCAAAATGGTCCTTTAACTCTCACACAGTCCTAAAACCTACTGAACAGGCACCCAGGCAAGTCACTGTAATTTTTTATTTTCCTTGTTCCTGACATTGTATTCTGCTTTTGCATAAAGCAAGTGACAGGTGGTAACTAATCAACTTGGGTAAAAAGATCATATCATGACACTATGCTTTGTTATCAGGGAGTTTATATAAGCTAATAATCTCCTTGAGAGAAGCTTCAAGTACCTGGCTGTGTGCCAAAGGATAATTTGATGTGGCTTTTTAAATTGTAAATATGGCTCCAGCACTGCCTTTGTTTTGAAATTGATTCATTTGACTATTCAAAAGCAAAATGTGTCAAACTAGTCAGGAGGGGTGGAGATTAGGGGAATCTTCTCATGCTCCTTCTGAGAAACTTAAAGAAATGGCTAGGGAACAGTCTGTCAGATGACAATGTCCCTACTTTTAGTACGAGCATTACAGATATTTTTGTTTTTGAGCTTCTGTAGAGCAGAAAAGGAAGATCAAGTGAAGCCGAAGAAATTTGTGCATGTTTCCATGAACTTATGTTGCTTATTTCCATGATACTAAAAAAAGTTGTTGGAACAGAACACCTATATTTTCAGAAGCTGTTGTTGGGGAGAATGGAGAGGGTGAAGAAATTCAGCCTCCAGAGAGATCTTTCTGGGCTAAATATGTGAGTTTGAATCAGTTACTTGTTTAGTTTCTTGTAAACCTAATAATTGCACACCCTCATTCTCATATTACCCTTTTTTTTATGATCTTTATTTCAGTGGATGTATTTGATCCCTCTCGGACTCATTGTTATGAATGCTATGACACAAGCGATGAACATGGCCGAAGAACAGACTAGCGGACAAGCAGGGGCCCAAGGACAACAGGTTATTGGAGCTCAACGTGCACAAAGTACTGTGGTACGAAGAAGATGATAGGTGAGTAAGTTGAAGTTAGTTTGAGTACATTTGTGATTTATCTTCATTACCTATTTATACATCCATGGTATAAATTGTATTAGCCCTTCTTAGGTGTCTACAAATAATGTATTTGTGGTTCCGAGTATATTAAGTTACAGCAAATATCATGAAGTACTTTTTAATTTTATTTTCGATTGTTTGAGATTTCTTGTAGTGTCTTTTGTTAATGTAGTGATTAGCTGTCTCAATAAGTTTAGAGTTCCCAAAACAGAATTTTAATTTGAAATGGACACACGTTATGCAGAAAGAAATATGTGATGGCCTATCTGAAATGTTAACCAACTTTTATGGTTGAAATGTGCACTTTCGCATTCCACTTGTACAAGGCAGCACCATATACCTTAATTGTGTTTGATGCTTCCATTTCTCTTTCTTCGATCTCGCTGGATTAGTATAGCATATACCTTTATAGGTCGCTTCTACTGATATAGTATCTGTTTTGGGGGTTATATTTTATGGAAATTTGTGTGGTCATCACTTTTTCCGTTGTTTTTTGGATCTTTTTGTTTTCCGTTACAAGGAAAGGGTTTTTTGATGAAGACCCTTACGAGAAAAGGGTTGATGTTTGCTGTCCACAAATGGTCTTCTCTGAGAAATGTAGGACAGAGTGGAGCGTTGTTGGTTGCCTTACTCTAGCATAAACCAAGTTTAAATTCAAAGATGACTTTTTTTCTCTGCAGATGAATATGATCTGCCACTAATGACTCTCCACCCGTTCAAAAACCCCTTTGTCTCCTCTTCTTTATCACCCACCTAAGGTAAGAGGAGAAATCTTCTCAAACTTCCTTTGATTTATCTTCCTGTAGGATGTAAAGCTGAGCTTTTGCATTCCACAAGTGGTGCTTTGTTGGAAACAAAGAGGAGTGGAGTGTCTTGTTGATTCCTCCCATTCTAGCATAAAACCAGATGCATATGATCTGCCACTCAGGATTCTCCACCCGGCCAAAATACCTTTAATCTTTTCTTACACATTAGGTGCATAAGAAGAGAAATTTTCTTAAATTCATTTATCGTACGCTGTATCCAGAAGTTCTTGGTAGGAGTTGATCATTTAGATTCTACAATTGGTGCTTTTATTAGAAATAAAGAGGGGATGGAGTATGGTTGGTTACTGCTGTTCTAGCATTCTTCTTTTCCTCTTTTTGGATAAATATTCCTGCGCCTCTGGCATAAACCATGTTGAGCTGAGGGTCTATCGGAAACAACCTTTCTACTCCATCGGAGTAGGGGTAAGGTATGCGTCACTACCCTCCCCAGACCCCCCACCTGTGGGATTTTACTGGGTTGTTGTTGTTGTTGTTTTTGTTGTTGTCTCTGGAGATGCATGTGATTGCTACCAAATGCACCTGTCAAAGCCCTTTTGTCTTTTTTTACACATCACCCAAATAAAAAGAGAAATCTTCTCAAACCTTCCTTTGTTGCACACCCAATCCAAGACCTCTTGGCAGTGTTGGAATGTTGCATTCCACGTGTGAAAATGCACGGGAAAAAAATCTATTATTTATATTCTATTCAATTATGATACAACGAGCCCTATTTATATAATACATATCCTACTCCTATTCTATGTGGGACTAGGACTAATTAACGTTATTTACATAACTATCTAACACTCCCCCTTAAGCCGGTGCATACAAATCATATGTACCGAGTTTGTTACATATGCAACTTTACGAGGACCAGTGAGGGACTTGGTGAAAATATGTGCAAGCTGATCATTCAATTTCACAAACTTTGTAGTAATATCTCCTGAGAGTATCTTTTCTCTAACGAAGTGACAACCAATCTCAATGTGTTTAGTTCTCTCATGGAACACCGGATTTGATGTAAAAGGCAGCTTGATTATCACACACAAGTTCCATCTTACTGATCTCACCAAATTTCAACTCCTTGAGCAACTGTTTGATCCAAACTAGCTCACATGTAGCCATAGCCATTGCTCGATACTCTGCTTCTGCATTAGACCGAGCAACCACATTCTGTTTCTTGCTTTTTCAAGATACCAAATTACCTCCTACTAAAACACAATATCCAGACATAGAACGTCTATCAGAAGGTGATCCTGCCCAATCAGCATCTGAGTATCCAACGATCTGCCAATGGCCTCGATCCTCAAACAATAATCCTTTGCCCGGAGCGGATTTTATATACCGAAGAATGCGGGCAACTGCATCCCAAAGATACGAGGTAGAAGAGAGAACAAAAGTGAGTGGGGAAACAAGACAGAGAATGGAACTTGATTCTGGATAGCCGAGCATGACATATGATTAATAAGATAACAAGATGTGAGAACATCCCCCAAAAATGCAATGGAAGATGAGATTGTACGAGTAGGGTACGAGCAGTTTTAATGAGATGTCTATTATTTCTTTCGGCTACCCTATTTTGTTGAGATGAGTATGGACAAAATGTTTGATGAATGATTCCATGAGAGTTCATAAGCTGCTGAAATGGGGAAGACAAATACTTTAGGGCATTATCGCTACGAAATGTGTGGATAGAAACCGCAAATTAATTATGAATTTCAGCGCAGAAGGTCTGAAAAATAGAAAACAACTCGGATCGATTTTTCATCAAAAATATCCAGGTGCACCGGGAATAATCATCAATGAAACTGACAAAGTAGCAGAATCCCAATGTAGAACTCACCCGACTAGGACCCCAAACATTTGAATGGACTAAAGGTGACTCTACTCGATTGTCAAGACGCCGAGGGAAACGGGAGCAAGTATGCTTACTGAGCTGACATGACTCACTCTAGAGTGGACAAGTGAGATAATCCAGGTACCATTTTCTGAAGTTTTGACAAACTGGGATGTCCCAACCGTTTATGTAATTAATATGGTGAATCTGTAACAGGACAAGTTGTTGAAGAAAGACAAGATGTGAGTTCATGTGATTTAGCAAGGATAAGGTAATAAAGTCCATTTGATTCATGCCCGGTACCGCCGAGGGAAACGGGAGCAAGTATGCTTACTGAGCTGACATGACTCACTCTAGAGTGGACAAGTGAGATAATCCAGGTACCATTTTCTGAAGTTTTGATAAACTGGGATGTCCCAACCGTTTATGTAATTAATATTGTGAATCTGTAACATGACAAGTTGTTGAAGAAAGACAAGATGTGAGTTCATGTGATTTAGCAAGGATAAGGTAATAAAGTCCATTTGATTCATGCCCGGTACCAATGATCCGCCCCGTGCTGCGTTCCTGTATAAAAATAAGGTCATCACAAAATAAAACAGAGCATTTAAGTGATTTGGCTAAGGGACTAACGACTATGAGATTAAAAGGACTACAGAGAACATAAAGAACTGAATCTAAAGGTAAGGAAGGAAGTAGACTTGCTTGACCTATACCAGTTGTTATGGTTTTAGACCCGTTGGCCGTTGTGACTATTGGAAGAGATTGAGAATATGACATAGTAGTGAAAAGAGATTTGTTACAAGAAATGTGATCAGATGCACTTGAATCAATGACCCAAGAATCTGATGATGAAGATTGGTGGGAGACACAAGTCACGCTATTACCTGTTTGAACAACTAAAGCTATCTCCGAAGATGTCTGTTTTGTACTGAAGGGAACTCGATATAATCCGGTAGAGAAACCATCCAACTTTTCATAGTATTGGATCCCATTTCGCTACAACCAATTTCTCAAATTCTTGACTAAAACTTGTATGATTAACCGTAGAATGCCAAATCAGAACAAGTTAAGCTAAAGACTTCCCCTTTTGTTTTGTTTTCCTTGGTTAGACGGAGTTGGAAAGGAAAGGGCGACCTCTGGAAACCAAGTTCTTCACTTGAAATAGTGAAAAATGGAAGAAATATCTGAGAAAACACTGTTCACAACATGTGAAAGCACTGTTCACGCAGGAATCACTGTTCACGCCGGAAAAGTGCAATGTTCACGCTGGAAAAAATAAAAGTTGTCGGAATTTGGTTTAAATTGTATGGGTAGAAGCTTAGCGTCAACATTCGGATCCATAGGAGTGTCAACAAGTCTGCAGCGCATCATTCCAGTCTCAAGAATGTCTAAGGCATACTTCCGCTGTGAAATAACAATACCTGAGCTAGAGCGACCTTAATACCTAGAAAATACTTCAATCTACCCAGATCATTAGGCTGGAAGTGCTGAAAGAGATGCTGCTTCAGATTAGTAATACCATCCTGATCATTGCCAGCAATAACAATTTCATCAACATAAACCACCAGATAAATACATAGATGAGGAGTAGAATGCCGATAAAACACAGAGTGATCAGCTTCACTACGAGTCATGCCGAACTTCTGAATAACTGTGCTGGACTTACCAAACCAAGCTCGAGGGGATAGTGACATGCGCAATCAGCATACAAAACCACTAGACTCCCCCTGAGCAACAAAACATCAGGTGGTTGCTCCATATAAACTTCTTCCTCAAGATCACCGTGGAGAAAAGCATTCTTAATGTCTAACTGATAAAGAGGCCAATGACGTACAACATGCATGGACAAAAAGAGGCGAACATATGCTACTTTAGCCACGGGAGAGAAAGTGTCACTATAATCAAGCCCAAAAATCTGAGTGTATCCTTTTGTAACAAGACGAGCCTTAAGCCGATCAACCTGGCCATCCGGGCCGGCTTTGATTGCATAAACCCAACGACAACCAACAGTAGACTTACCTGAAGGAAGAGGAACAAGCTCCTAAGTGCCACTCGCATGTAAAGCAACATCTCTTCAATCAATAGCCTGCCGCCATCCTAGATGAGATAGTGCCTCACCATGGACAAAGATGATATAAAAGCATAATGAGGTGATGACAGGCGATGATAATTTAAACCGACATAATGGGGATTAGGATTAAGTGTGAATCATACACCTTTGTGGAGTGCAATTGGTTGACTAAGATGAGACAAGTCCGCAGTAGGTGCAGAATCTGATGCAGGAGGTGAATCACCTGAGCCTGATGCTGGACGTGGACGATGATGATAAGTCAAGAGTGGTGGTCTTGCTGCTGAGGATGTAGGAGGAGCAACTATAGACTCCTCAAAAGTATGTATAGGTAGTTGTAGTTGTGGTGGTGCTGTGGGTGTGGATTCCTCACAAGTAGGTACATGTAAGACTTCAGATATATTAAGATGATCAGAAGAAGCAAAGTAAGGTTGAGACTCAAAAATGTGACATATACCTATGAAGATCAGGTGAGTAGCAGCGATACCCCTTTTGAACCCGAGAATAACCAAGGAAAACACACTTAAGAGCACGAGGAGCTAACTTATCTTTTCCAGCAGCTAAGTTGTGAACAAAACATGTACTCCCAAAAATACGAGGAGAAAGAATGTATAAGGGTGACTGAGGGAACAATGCTGAATGTGGAATCTGATTCTGGATAGCAGATGAAGGTATTCGATTAATCAAGTAACAAGCTGTAAGAGCTGTATCGCCCAAAAAACGCAGCGAAACATGGGACTGAATGAAAAGTGTGCGAGCAGTTTCAATGAGATGCCTATTCTTTCTCTCTGCTACCCCATTTTGCTGAGGGGTATACGAACAAGATGTTTGATGGATAATTCCTTGAGGTCATAAACTGCTGAAACTGAGAGGATAAGTATTCTAGAGCATTATCACTACGAAAAATGCGAATAGAAACACCAAATTGATTTTTAATTTCAGCACAAAAATTCTAAAAGATGGGAAACAACTCGGAACGATCTTTCATTAGGAAAATCCAAGTACATCTTGAGTAATCATCAATGAAACTAACAAAATAACGAAATCCTAAGATTGAACTAACTCTACTAGGACGCCATATATGAGAATGAACTAAAGAAAAAACAGACTCTGAACGACTCTCAGCACTACGCGGAAAGGTGGCTCGGGTATGTTTCCCAAGTTTACACGATTCACAATCTAATGTAGATAAACTAGACAAACTAGGCACCATCTTTTGAAGCTTGGATAAACTCGGATGTCCTAAACGTCTGTGAATTAGGTCCGGAGGATCTGTAACTGGACATGCTGTGGAAGGATTGAGTGAGTTAAAGTAGTAAAGTCCTTGTGATTCAAGCCCTCTGCCAATTGTCTACCCCCTACTGAGGTCCTGCATAATAAAAGAATCATCAATAAAATATATACCACAATGGTGGGCATGAGCCAAACGACTAACAGATGCAAGACTAAAAGGACAACCAGGGACATAAAGAACGGAATCTAGAGTGACAAAAGATGAGGGATTAGCTTGTCCAACTCCTTTTGCTTTAGTTTGGAACCCATTGGCTGAAGTAAGAGTAGGAAGAGACTACGAATACACAATGTTCGACAAAAGTGATTTATTACCAGATATGATCAGAAGCTCCTGAGTCCATGACCCACGGTCCAAGAGTACTAGACTGGAAATACAAGCAAAAGAATTACCAGCAACATGAGTATCGATCTGAGCAACCGAGGCTACTTGTGGAGATGTCTGCTTACTTGCTCGATACTGAAGGAACGCATTATATTCCCCTTCAGATAAAGAAAATCCTTGATTACCTGTAGTCTCGGTTTGAGCAACATGAGCGTTTCTAGGTGGCCGACCATGTAAAGAATAGGATACTTCACGAGCGTCCAAGTTTATTACAATAAGAATACTTGGGTCGAGATCCCCCAAAACGACCTTCTCCTCGTCGATTCTCCATAGCCTGAGATGTTCGATTTTCCATTGTCTGAGATGCGAGAATAGAGGAGTCAACAGTTGGTGGTGAGACCACTGTGTGACTGGATGGCGCAGCAAGACGAAGCAATCGAGAGAATAATTCATCAACTGTAGGAACCGAAGGCCTAGCCAAAATTTGGTCTCTCACTGAGTCAAGGTCATTAGGCAGTCCAGCAAGTGTAAGAACTAGAAACATCTTCTAATGTTGCTGTTGTTGTTGTTCAACACTAGTAGTGACCAACATCAACTTCTCAAATTCCTCCAAAACTGCTTGCACTTCTCCCAAGTAAGTAGACATATCCAATTCTTGTTTCTTTAAGTTTGTCATCCGAGATATCACATCATACAAACGAGATATGTCATTAGTGTATAAAGTACGAGCCTTCTCCCAAATTGAATAACTTGTCTGGAATGGACGAAACAAAGGCATTAACTAGGAATCAATCGATCGCCACAACAAACTACATAATTAAGCATCAATTTTCTGTAGAGTGCTTTGGCCTTTTCATCTCCATCACTAGTCTTCTTGGGTAGGTGATCTTGAACACCTTGACCCTTGCACCACAACTCAGAAGAAGCCCAGGCTAAGTAGTTTGAACTTCCCATTAAGGGTTCCGAAGTAATCATCAAACTTGAATTTCCTGAACCCGTATTTTTAGAATCAAAAATATCAAGCCCCAAAGAAATTGTTGGACCAAATAGCACAGATAATCAAGAACACTAAAAAGCTCACAGGAACAGTGAAGAAAAAAACACTGTATCTCACCTGAATCTGAACAATCGCCGGAAATCTCACCGGAAAATAAAAAAATCGTCGGAATTTGATGTAACTTGGATGGATAGGCTCGTAATAGCCTCGCGAGCAAGCTGTTCAAAAGAACTTTCGTCAGAAACTGACCTGAAAGCAGCTCGCGCCGACGCGTGAGGAGATTTGCCGGAATTTTTTTCCCTTTGGTTGGCGCGTGTGGGCGCGTGTTGGGGTATTTTCCGGCGGAGTTTTCTGGGGTTTGGTCGCCGGAGGGTGTAAGACCCTGTGGTGGTGTTGGTTTTAGCACAACACTGAGGGAAATGTAGGTGACAGAATAATAGCCCTAGAAGTCGCCGGAAATTGACACACGACGACTGTCCGGCGGAGTTTTCTTTCTCGGATGTTTCTCACCAACGCTTTGATACCATGTGAGAAGTATAGCACGAAAACTTTTTATATTAATTATCTAAAGTGTTGTACAATGCCCTATTTATATACAGTGATTACATAATAATATGTATCTACTTCCCGATGTGGGACACTCTACATGATTAACTACTCAACATTTATATTCTATTTAATTATGATACAATGAGCCCTATTTTTACAATACATATCTTGCTCCTATTCTATGTGGGACTAGGACTAATTAACGTTATTTACATAACTATCTAACACCACGATATGTGCTTTATCAGAAACAAACAGATGGAAGTCTCCCCACTCTAGCTTAAAAATATTTTCTCGAGGTGTCTGCCGCCGGTTCATCCTACCCGTTCCATTTATATCTTATCTTAAACATCATCCACTTAAGATAAAAGGGCAGCCCGATGCATAAGGCATCCCGCGTTCACGCTGGGTCTTGTGAAGGGCCGGCACCTTAATGGGTGTGATGTAGACAACCTAACCTAATGCAAGCACCCTCCACTTACGATATAGAGGACAAATCTTTTCAAACCTACCTTCATTCCACACCTATGACCTCTTGGAGGAGAGTGGGTTTAGGATTGATTCCACATAATTAAGAAGTTGATGACTACTATGTTTCCGTTTTCTCTTCTAGGTTCTGCCAAAATTTTGCATAGCAAATGAAACGAAGTAGATAAATTTTAATGCCTTCTGCTCTTTATTTTGTTTTAAATGTTTTTATCTTATAGGTAGATCTCAAATTGCATATAGCGAAGTTGTCTCAAAAGACCTACGATCGCTTGGAAATTTGGAAACATTGTGGATTTCGCCAAGGACAGAACAAAATGGAAACCAAGGATCCATTTAGACAATACCAACTAATTAGGATTAAGACTTGGTTTCTATGTTGGTTAGGATTTCATTTATTCTGTTTTAAGACTGCAATGCCAGTGTGGGGTATGTGTGAGATTTAGAGAATTTCTAATAAGGACCCTTGATTTGCCTTAAAGTCGAATTATCTAGTATTTGAATGAACTGGACATAAAAAGAGTGCAATGGATACATATAATTTATGTAGCCAACCTTTACTATTGTTTTTGATTGATAAATAATAAAGACTCATCACACCGATCACAAAATAACAATAAAGAAAGACTATAGTCGTGCATTGAATTTCAGATATCTAGTAGAACTTTTCTTTTGTGTACATCCTGGCCAATAAAAATTTTCTGCACTCTGAGACTTATAATTACTGGAGCTGGCTCTTTTGTGAGAGTTAAAGAGAATAAATGCTTTGCGCATTACGAAGCCGGCGTAACTCATTGGCTTTTTGGCTGGACCAAAAATTAAATTTTATACGTTATATATGGCTGGTGGAGTGTTACATTTTCTGTGGAACAACTTTTTTGGCAATTGACTCCTATTACAGAGACCGTCGTACTCCCTCCGTCCCATTTTATGCAATACACTTTGACTGGGTGTGGAGTTTAAGAAAAAAGGAAAGTTTTTTGAAACTTGTGGTCTACAAACAAGCCATAGATATTTCTATGGTGATAAATCATCTCATTATGGGTAAATTGGAAAGTTTAAAGTTAAATTATTTCTCCATATAGAAACGTATCCGTTCTTTTCGTGACAGACTAAAAAGGAAAGTGCATCACATAAATTTAGACAAACGGCGTTTTACATACTCCAGCTTTTTGAGGGTTTGATAATTTAAAGCATTTTTGGGCTCTCCCTTCTATTTCTTTGTCCTTCCTCCTCTTGAGTGCTTGTAGGAGTTGGCAAGAGTGCATGTGATACTAGTTTTCTGGATTTTAGCTCCATCGCAGATTACTACTGATAGGATCTGTTTTCTGCAAGGTTCCTAGTGGAATTCTATACTTCCGTAAGGATCCAGTTGTAATTTTCAGCACAATCTTACTGCTGCTTTTGCTTTTATTTACTTATCAATAAAAAAATATCTTTGCAATCGGCAAGTTCAAACTTCTATCGGAAAACAACTAGTTGTTTGATTCTTTGTGCTTTGATGCCAGCAACTTGCAGATCCCCTGGATTTTCGATCTTCAAGATGGTAATACTGCGGAATCAGGCCCGTTGGTTCTGATTGAAATATCCATTGATATGCTTTTGTGGGGTGAACAATTAACCTCTGCAATGATTTGAGGGGAGTAAGGGCATTTTGAGTCATCAGTTATTTTTGATTGACATGATTGAGTGGTTAGTATACATTTTCTTCCTCTCTTATGGAAGATATTTGTAGGTTTTGATCGTTACATTTGTACCCATCTTTGAGTGTCGCTGAAGGATACTTTCCTAAAATGATGGCAGATGTAAAACATAGGTCTATATCCTTGATTTCAATAGTTTGTACTATTTATTTTAAAGTTTTCCACTTGAACATTCTCTCTTTTCATGCTTTTATTTATTGTCTTTGTGATTTCTAAGTTCCTGCCAAGCTTACCTCATTTCTTTATTCTTTCTCTTTTGATGTTACGAGAATTGACAAAAGAAAAATACCATCATTTTGGGGAGGTCTCAATTCAGTATAACATCATTTTGGGAGAGGTCTTAGCAAATTTGTTTTTGCCTATTTTAATATGAAAATTTTGAAAATCAGAATCATCCCCTGAATTGTTTATGATTTTGTGGCTGGGAATTTGTTTTTTGAAAAAATGACACTGTATACCTACTCTTAAAATAATAGCTGAAAAATGTATATTTATTGTATATACATTCTATATGTTATATACAAAAATTATATAAATTATACATTTTTTCGGTTACCGAATGTAAATAGTTTTCGACGCGAGCTAAAAGTGAAAAAACCCTTTTTTTTGGGGGCAAGATTCATGTTTACGTTTTAAAAAGCAGCACGTTTTTTCTTAACTTTGCCGGTGAGAATTTTACGACAATAAGATCCCCACACCTTATAAATGTTATACCATTAAGATGGTTTAACCCGACAAAACCCAGTTGAAAACTGACTCAAAGTTAAACTTTAATGAATTTTTTTCTAGTCTAGCTCTTATTTTTTTTGGGGTTAAAATGTCAACTTTGCGGTGAGAGCCTCAGAGGTTAGGCTAGACCTCAACCTTTGTTGACATCTAAAAGTTGAATACATACGAGATAGGGACAACGAATATGTCCACTTCTTGGGCAAAAGTTTGAGAGGGTCATATCTTTATATACTGGAATGCCCTAGGATATGTATGAAAGGCTATTGGACAAAACGGAGGTTTCAAAGTATATCCTATAAGCAAAAAGTATACATCAAATTGTTTCCTTCTGGTTTTTATTCTGAAAGTTGTAATTTGATCTCTATCTATCATTGTTGAAACTTTCACCTCTCTTGGTAAGACATTAGCATCCATGAAGACATTAAAGGTTTTGGTATGTAGGTCCCAGTTGGCCAGCATATCAGCATTACCATTTGCTTCTCTACTGCAATGGCTGAAAGTAGTGTTGCCTTGATTCTTAACCATTTGCTTAATTTGCCGGGGGGTGGGGGGGATCAAAATAACTGTTGATCTCATTTATCTAGATTTAAGAGTCAGATTCCAACTTGAATAGTCTTGTAGCCTTTTCCCATACACCATGTTATTCCAAATATCGTGGCTTTTGCCTCTACACATTGTTTAAGCAAACTCCGAAGAAACCAGAGTGGGCCATGATCACCTCACCACTCTGGTTTCTTAGGCATCCTCCATCACCTGTGTTGGGCCACGATTTCTTTGCTGCAACCATCATTGCGCTTCACTTGTCCATTAGGTAGTTTCAACTATTTCACATGGATGATGTTCTGCTTTTGATTTTGTCCACCAGTGTACAAAGATAATTTCACTCATTAGTGATAGAAAGCTTAGTGAAAAGTATACTTACCTGGGTGAGCATAGTTGTTTCGATTTGGTATTTGAGCCTTGCAATAGATATCTCTTTACCTTCCAAAGTGATTGCTTGCTCCTTAGGTTCCACCAGGCTTTAGCTGCAAAAGCATTTGAAATGTCCTGAATGGATCTAAAAACTGCATCTCCTTCATCTTCTTCATAGCACAGAGAAGTCCAAGAGAACTAATGGATCTTGTTCTTCTCCTAATTGTTCCCCCCAAAAAAGTTACTAATATTGTTTCTCTATGTGTTGAAGGACAAATTTGGGAGGGTTACAACAGTAGATAGAATGTGCATGGGAATGGAATGTAGAACTGCCTTAATAATGATAACTTTCCTACCCTGCACTTTCCTACCTATTTTAACTTTAATATCACTAAAGTAGATTACTTTTTTCCTTCCTAGGTATATGGGAGCTCCCAGATATGTGAAGAGGAGGGAACTATTAGCAAACCTTGTCAGATCCTTGACTTGATTGATCCTTAGTGTCTGAGTTTGGATGCATGTAGAATTGTGATTTCTTATAGTTGATCATCTGGTCGGAAATATCAGAATAGTCATCTAGGCATTTTTTAATGATCTGTATAGAAGTCTGATCAGTTGAACAAAAAGGAATTGTGTCATCTCCATTTGTAAGATGAGTGATGCAAGCACCCTTTTTTTCATTCTATATGGTATGAAATCATGGCATTGAGCCGTCCCATTCAGCATCTTAGAAAGTATTTTAGAAGCTAGGACAAATAAAGGTGAGAAATGGGATCTCCTTGGATTTGAAGAAAACTTTCCTTATCCCATTGATAGCAATGGAGTACCATATGTTAGAAATAACAATGAATATCATATTTATCCAAATTTTATTGAATCCCATTATCCTCAGCATTTGACACAGGAAAGCCCATGAAACCCTATCGTAAGCTTAGGCATATACAATTTGATATTCACATTGTCTCCCTTGTTGTCTCTATTCATATTGCGTGCAAGCTCGTGTCATCGTGATATTGTCTGTGATTGCCATCCACAGATTGATTAGGGGATATCAATCTTGGTAAGGGTTCAGGTAAGCTGTTGTTCATAAGCTTGGAGATGATTTTGGATATCACATTGGCTAAACTATGTCACATTCCAACCTTGGGGAGCGAGACAAAGCGCTTAATACTAAGACATGGTTGAACAAGCCAACATTCCCTTAACTTCCCATCCATATAACCCATGCATAATTTAATATGCACATCCATTCTTTGAAAATATCTGCCTCCTATTAGTTTGAAAATATTAAATAATAAAGTAATTGTTATACATGACATGAGACTTCAGTAGAAATTAATAAATATATAATTTAACTCACAAATATCTATGGAGCTCTATGACAAGCGTGCAAAGAAAATAAATGAAATAGTAGTGATAAGGCTCCGTCTATACCAAAAAAGAGAATACCATAGACTGAAATATCAAAGATAGCACCGAAAATGAAGGAGACTGTCACGACCCAAAATCCCACCAACGGCCGTGATGACACCTAACCCTTAAGACTAGTAGGTAAACCAACATATAACATAAATAAAAAATAATCTAAACGAGATATAACATAACTGAAATAGTATAAATAGTGGAATAAATCTCCAACAACCGATAATATGTAGATACTGCATCATCAAATCCCTCAAGATCTGGTAGTACGGAGTCATGAGCTCTAATATAGAGTACGACGAAATCTCTCCATAATATAATACTGTCTATAATATAGAAAACAATATGAAAGATAGGGGACTCTAAGGGTCTGCGACGATCATGTAGCACTACCTTGAATCATCTATGTCAGCTACAAGACTCACTCGTGAAGTCCGCTACTGCCAACGCACAGATTTGTACAAAATATGGAGAAGTTTAGTATGAGTACGTGACAACATGTACTTAGTAAGTATCAAGACTAACCTCGATGAAGTAGTGACGCGGTTCAAGTCATGTGATACTCATTAATCAAATAAAACCTGTGCAGTTTATAATAATTCGCAACGAGAATTTAACAAAAGATGCAATATCATCAAATATCATATCAAGAGATATCAACTAAACATGGATAATTAAATCTTGACGAATAAGTCGTCAACATATAATAGAGGCATCACGTAACATGTTAGAATTCAACCCAGAAACATATAAAATGCATAACAAGGCATAAAAGATTCACTTGCATGGTCAAAACTTCCACCTTTATGCTCAAACACCATCAGATTTTATATCAGAATCAACCAACATCTATCAATTTACCACAATCCGCGTGTATGCCATCAAGAGAGAAACATAAGACGACGACCCTAGGGGATGTATTCAAATCCACACGTTGTACAGTATAATACTCGTGCAAAACAGTGACAATATCATCATAACAACACGACAAAGACTTCGCGCCACAACAAACGATAGAAACCTCGTTCCACTTCCAAATAAATTCGCTCAATATGTCCAATTGTGCCATAATTATAACATTCCGAAATAAAATTTCATAATCAAAGAGGCATGCTCACAAGTAATCAATAAGGTGCACAAGGACAATATATAAGGTGCGGATGTATGCTCAAGATGTGAAGCATGACAACGACTAAATCAAGTATAGCAACAATACACAAATAGCCCATCTTGGCCAATTACGAAATAGTAATCCTAAACATGGATACTAGCACGAAAGGAATAGCTTAAGTAGTCATATAATTAATTAAAACATGAATATAAAAGGCATACAATCCAAACAAGGCATAATAGAAACATAACCGGTCATGAATCATACATTGCACCCGCATATACGCTCGTTACCTTGCATATACGTCGCTTTTCACATAATCAAATTAGACAAATAAGATCAAATCCTAAGGGTTATTCCCTCACAACAAGATTAGGCAAGACACTTACTTTAATAAGCCAAATCAACTTTCCAAAATCGCCTTTTCTCTAGAAATTACCTCCAATCGGCTCGAATATAGCCAAATATTACTTAATAATGTTAAACAATATCGTAGGAATCAATTCCAAGTAATTAAGGTTCAATCTTTAATCAATTCCCAAAAAGTTTTCAACAAAGTCAATCACGGGTGACATGGCCAAAATTCGAGTTTAGGGGTAGATCCCGTTTACCCATAACCCCAGGAGTTCAAATATGCGTTTAGTTTTCAAATTCAAGTCCAAATTATAGCTCAAAATCTCAATTTTTACTCTCTTAAGTTGTAGGCAAAAGCATCAAATTTCTTCATAAAATTTCATGTTCTAGATATTAACAATCTATGTAGATTCTTGAAATAATACCATAAATGACCACTTACATAACATAAAACATAGTACATGAAAGAAAAAAGGCTTCTAATAGTCTTTTATATATTATCATCATTTTCTACAAATAAGTGAGGATATCTTCTCTTTGTATCTTCTTCCGCCTCCCAAGTCGCTTCTTCAACATGTTGGTTTCGCCATAGCACTTTAACGGAGGCGACCTCTCTTGTTATCAATTTTCGGACTTTCCTATTA